TGCAGTGGTATCTGCAGCCATTGCCAGGGCTCAGATGAGAAGAGGCTTCTCTTGGTGCTTTAGCAAGAGCCCTGAACACAGTGCCTCTCCTGAGCAGAATCCGTCACTCGGCGTGCTCGGGGGTGTGCAGGATCTGCCAGCCTCCTTGGCTTATGTACGGGAGAAAGTGGGTCATGTCTCATAAACAGATTTCAAACACTTCCATCCACAGAAGCTTCTGGTTTTGTATTTCCGTTGCTGACACCTCCTCCCTCTTGCAACTATACTGGCAGTTTCCTTCCTTGCCCACCTGGGCTTTGGCATGGAGCAGGCTGATAGCTTGCAGGAGGGAAGACTAGGGAAACCTCGTGTGCTTGTCTTGGTTCCTTGTGTTTTAACTGCTAATGCAACTCTGACTCAATCTGCTGCTCACCTTGATTTCATCTAAGCAGTAACCTCCTCTAGTAGAGACCATCCTAAGAGCATCAAACCTGTCTCTACAAGGATCAGCTGGGCCCCTGACTCCACGGAGGGCTGGGCTTCCAGCATCCTCAGGGATGGAGATTTCTCGCAGCGTGGCAAGTGGCTGGTGGTGCACACCAGGGCAGAGGCAAAATAAACTGGGTGAGCTTTGATGACAGCTGAATCCATCTTGCTACTACTTCATACCAGAGTGAGGGTGTGTGTCTGGCCACATGCCACAGTAGGGTGACAGTCTTTCAAGATTCAGTCTTGATCATTTAAATCCAGTGAAAATAGCCTTGTTTTAAGACACCTCCTTTCTTCCAAGAATAGCAGCTCTGGATATAAAATCTTTAGGAACTTGATCCTTGTGGAAGAAAGACTGGTTCATGTTCAAAAGACTCTCCTGTAGGAGATGCTGAAGCAGACTAAAGCTCTTGACCTGGGCTGTCAGCAGTTCTGTTGTTCACCAATAAAATACCACCGTGTGCAGCTCTCGTATCACTGCATAAAATAAGGTATGCAACGGCTGCCATGGCAGAGCTGCGCAGGACAAAGTCTGGATTTCAACAGCTCCTAACTAAAACTTAGGAGACACTGGGTTTTTGCAACCTTTCAGCATAAGCGCAAAGCTTCTAAGCACTGCCGGTTCTGTAGAGGTGTGCAGCCACCGTGTGAATCGTTAACCTTCCTCTCGCATCGGCTCAGATAAGTAATTCATGCCTAGTGTGAGCCCACCCACTTGGTGGCGAGTTGCCGTTGAGGCTCGGGGACGCACCGCACCATTCATGCTTCGGTCTAACTGATTCCAGCCCAGTGACGCGAATTTAGCTGTGAGCTAAAAATACCTCTGCTCCCAGCTGATGTGCCCTAATCCCAGCACTACAAGCCACTTGAATCGAGCTGCGCGGCTGTAGCAGGCGTCGGGCAGATGGAGCAGAGCGTGCTGAACGGTGTGTGGCTGCTGCTGGGTAAAGGGCTGCTCAGAAGTGTGGTCCCTGCGCTCTCGGTGCCTGGCTTTTTTTCTCCTAATTGTAAAGAGCCTTCACTTTCCTGAGCACTCAGATCTGCGCTGTTCCTGCGCCACGTGAGAAGCGGAGCTGAAGTTATGTGCAGACATGCAGGAGGCCCTACTGAGCAGCTAAATGGGGGATGCTGATTTTCTTCAGTGGAGAAACTGAAATTTTAATTTCTTTTCCTTTAAACCAGAATGAAATGGGCTTGGAACAGCAGTTTTTAGGGGGCTGGGGTTTTGTCTGTCAAGAAAGCAGCTTGTGCATTTCCTGTACATCCAGGCTGTCTGTCTGTCACTGTGCAACAGTCACCTTACATCACCTCCTGTGTAAACTGCAGGCTTTTCCGCAGGTTAATTCTTTTGATACTTCAAACAAAAAGGAGATAAACACAGTCCATCAGTGGAGATGCTTCTGTGTGAAGTCTGTTCCCTGGCTTTCGTAGGTAAAAGATCATCCTGTGCCCACAAGGCAAACCAGATAGGATTGATGGTTTGCAACAGGGATGGCAGAAAAAGCCTCCATCCCTGGCAGCTCACCCCATAACAAGGCACAGAAGAGCCAGAAAATCTTGGCTGCTGCAGGTAGCCCACGGCACCACAAACTGAAGCCCAGGGTAAGGTGCCAGGCTGTGGGTTGAGGAGCAGGTACCCTTAAACAATCAGAGCTTGCCACTCTGATCCCTGTCTCCAGTATCTTTGCTTCCAAAAAAAACCCCTGAGTCCTGGAACCTTGAAAGTATTCCCGCGATTCCCAGTGACTCAGTGAGAGATGAGTGCTCCATTCTGGGTGAGAGGTTTGGGGCTGACATTCCCAGTGGTGAGAGCTGGCTCTGGCCTGAGGCTGCTCTTCAGGGCTGGAGCTGTATGGCCGTGGAGGAGCGAGTCTCTCTGGAGTTGTATCATGGGGCCAAGGTGTACTTAGGATGCGCTGCACATTCTGAATTCATTAGAGCTGTTTCGTGCGTCTGCCTCTTAGGAAGAGGTTATGATAGTGTTGTGGAGAAAACCATATTTAGAAATACAACTTGTCGTGAAAACAAAGTCATGGTTATACCCCAGCTTTATCATCTCTTATGAATCCAGTGCTAAATTAATAGATTTGGGGTTTTTTTTTAATGAAAATATAAGAATCTAGTGCATGAAAATATATTCCTAGACTGTTATAGCTCAAATAATCTGGGTGCTGTTGATGCAACTATACCAACTGACGTTTCCCCTGCAACCGAGCATGCACTAAAGCTCAGTTTGCCTTGTTTACATTGTTTTTTCAACATTCCAGGTTTGATTAAATTTTAAAGGACCGCTACATTAAGCTAAGATATGCAAAAGATTAGCTAAATGTTTTTTCTTTTTTTAAATTCTGCCTACCCAAAACCCACAGTGTGAGAGAGGACAAGCTGACTTGCACATGGAGATTGAATGCCATTAAACAGGAGGCAATTAGGTGCTGTGCTGCTCAGCAGTTCTAGGAACTTTACTTTTGCTTGCTTAGTGCTGGTCCACAATATGGTGTGAAACAACAGCTTTGGTGTTTGGAGTTGGATATGGCTTTATTGGTATGCAGTGGTCACTTTGTTTTTCACCCCCCAAGTAATTTTTCTAATGCTAGAACAAAGTAAAATTGGATTTTCTGGCTGGAACAACCTGGGGGACAATTGTATGCAAGCTTCCCTGGTATGTGCAAATCTAGTAACCTGATCGTGTAATAAATTATAGAACTCGTGCATATTACATGTCTTGGAAATGAATGTGCTGTCATAATATTGACCAAAGTGCCTCCCCACTGGATCAGAGTCTGCAGATGCGTTTGGTATTTGAATGCAGTTGTTAGCTGGATGCTCAGAACCGTTCAGGTGTTGCTAGAAATGGCATGGAGAATGTTTTCAGCTACCACAGCATAAAATATAGTCCTTCGGTTTTACTTCCTGATATCCAGTGCTTGTTGTAAAATGCCACGAAGGTCCAAGTTCAAAAAAGGTACGGTGTCGATGTTGATTCTGAACTGTGCATGTCATTTGTGAAAACTCCAGTTGTTGCAAATTGGTCATCTTGGCTGATTGAGTTTGGAAGTGAAACTCTTAAGCTGTATGGGTAGAAGATTTAAACGTGTCCTTTGCTTTACCCAGAAGGAAACTGCTGTTGAAAAGAATTGGATTACTTCAGTGCAAAGGAGGAGACCTTGTCCAGCTGTTCCTCCCTGCATGCCTGTTTCCTATGTGCTGATTAGTTGTTGGACTGAGGTAGGGTAAAGAATTCTGTTTAGAAAGCAAAAGAAAAGGAAAACGAACGAACAAACTGCACAGAAAAAAAGACCAAAACACCAAACCCTGAAAGATGGACTGATGTCAGAGGCTTCCCTGGCCTTGGTGATGGGGAAATCTTTCTGTGTCTTTGTATTGTGCTTCAGGAGAGTTTTGAGAATAAGCATTGAGCCAAAAGCAGCAGCCCTGTGGAAAGTTGCTTAGCAAGGTCAGATATAGACTGTGCCGTCTTGCAGAAGGACTCATGTGGCTCTGGTTTGCAGAGTCACCAGACCCGATGTGTGTGGGGAGACATGGACCCAGGCAGCACGGATCAGTGGTCCTGCCTGCGCTGGGCACTGACCAGGGCTTCGGTGGGTGCTGCGCTCTCTCTCAGAAACCAGCAGCCCTCTTTAGAGCTGGGCTCAGCTCTCTGCTCCCAGCAAAGATCTGCCTTTTTTTTTTTTTTTTTTTTTAAAGGATGTGCTGTCACATGGCATTAGCAGTCCTGCCTTCAGCCAGGCACAGACTGGCACTGTTGCTTAGCAACTCTGCCCGATCTCCAAAATCCTGACATTCCAGAGCATGGGAGGGATGGGGGCTGCTACCTGGGCGGAGAGGGGGTAGACTCTCACCAGTCCCCAAATGTGTGCTGAGAGAGGGGGCAGGAGGAGTCAGGCAAGCCAAGCATCAGCACTCCAGCCTGCTCACAATTGCTCCAGGTGTCTGGCTGAGACAGAGTGTGCTTGGTAGGGTTTCTTGCACTCTTCGGGGGGCAACTGAGGTCAGACAGGGAGGCAGAAAACAGGCTTTCCTAGGAGTTTCCCCTGCCTCAGTTTCACTCCCTGTACCCCCCTACAAGCAGAGTTTCGGGGCAGGAGGAAGGACAGCAAGGATGGCAAGAAGTGATGCCAGGCTGGAGCTGTGCCCCCACGGCCGTTCCCTTCCCTGCCTGACAGAGAGCAGCCCACATCCCTGCATGGAAATCTGCCCCCCAGCAGAGGCAGTGACTGTTTAAATGGCAAGAGGTGCCATCTCATGGTTGAAGGCTTTGGCGTAAGAGCAGCTGCTCTGCGGCCCCATCTTGCCCGCTGTGCCCCAAAGCACAGCAAACCCAGGCAGCAGGAGCGCTCCCCTCCCCTGCTGTCACGCTGCGTGGTGGGGTAGCTACCCCGTGGCTCCAAAATTACAGCTTCCCGCTTGCAGCCTTGCTTCCAACCCTGCACCCACGCTGCCCCGGGAATGCCTTTGCTCTGACAGCATCCCCCGGCAAAGGGGAAGACTGCTGCCAGCAGGTATGAAGGTTGCTGGAGAAAGTCTTGACCCCTTGCCAGCAGTTCAACTTCCAGGATACATGTCCAGAGGCACTTCAGACCAGGGAAATTTAACCACAGCCTGTTAAAATTGGGCAAACGAAATCACGTTTAATACCAATGTCCCTTGCAAACAAGGATGCACGCTCCAAGCCGGCGCTTGTGTTGAACACCATGCCTTCACAAAGCCCCGGAGGCTGCTCTTGCTGGCTGGGCTGGCACAAGGAGATGGGAGTTTGGGCTTCATCCCTAGCGCATGGTGTCCCTCCAGCGCAGGTCTCTCCCAGCCACGCTCCCCGCAAGCAGGGGACTGCTCTGCATCGCCCGTTTCCCTAATCTGGATGAGTTTGTTGTATAGAGGAGGAGTAGAGGTGGGAGGAGGAGACAGAGGGAATGAGAGTTTTTAAGCAAAGGATCTCATTAGTTACTTATATCTGCCAGTTTCCATAGTAACTGGGGAAGAGAGGAAACCTAAATCTGAGTGTGTCTGAGTAGCTGGATGCCTGAACCCTCCTCGACCTGCACACAACCGCTCTGAGGCCTGGGGAGCAAAGGGGTTCAGCCCAGCCACGGGCTAAGGGTCCAGGCTGCCCGTGGAGCTGCTCCACAGCTCTGGTTATCAACGCTGCCCTGGGGAGAGGCAGCAGGTCCAGGTCTCTGCATCAGTGTATGGATTTGTGGGGCCCTTTCTTTCCTGCTTCTGCCATTCCCTGGTGCATGAACAGACTCTGCTGTCCCCTTTCTAATCCCTTTGTGCACCAGCACAGACTTGTGTCTGTTCTCAAATCTGGCACTGATGCTGCAGATCTCAGTGTTGGTAGGTGCAGGGATGGATTAGAGCTGCACAGTCACTTTGTGCTGCTTCTCTGCTGCTGTCCTGCTCCTTGAAATGGATCCCACGTTTCTGGTGTCTTGGGAATTTGCCAGTGATGTTTATCAGGTGTGGGGTGATCCTCCCTGAGCCTTCCACCCAAAGTGTGAATGTGCCCCTTTTACTGGCATCCAAAGACTGAGGTTTGCTCTGCTCTGTGCTGAGAAACCCCTTGGCATCCAGAGGCCGCTGGTTTGGGTCTTTGTGTTCTGCGTATTTGCCTCTGTTCTTGTTTCTTTGAAGGGTCCCTTAGAAATAACATGTGTCATGGTTACATCCATATAGGCCTCCAGGTGAAATCACACATCTGTGAGTGCTGAGGTCGTACAGTGTGTTGAAACTGTAGCACAGCCCTGTGATGTCTAGAGACAGACATCTGTGGGTTTTTACCCTTTCAAGTGATTGCTTTAAAGAAGAAAGAAAGGATTTTTGCTATTTTGTAGGCCATTGGTTTGGCCAGAGGTGTCTGTGCATGAGAGAGGGAGAAGCAGGAGGGACCTGTCATGGTTGGGATGGGACCTCAGAACCAGGCACCCAAGCGAGCCTCAGGCAGGGATCTTTGTTCTTCTCCACCTTCATCTTCTGACTTTCAGCTGCCTCCAGGTTAGCCTGCCTGGGGCTTGTTGGGAGTTATAGATAGAGCAGAGTCCGCTTATCCTCTGAGCTGCAGACTCTTGCCTTGATAAAGGCAGCAAGTCCTGAGTGACCCAGAGCAGTGAGCAGTAAGTGAAAGCCCTGCAAGTTGGGCAAATACTTCACAAGGGATCACAGCCTTGAAAGGAATGAGGTACGTCCATGAAGGAAACTGGAACTTTTTTCTCCTTGTGTCATGTCCACTCCTGTCCCCAGGGAAAACTCTGGGATGGAAGTCAGCGTTTCCTCGTGCACTTGCATCTTGGGAGCGCTCCTCTGGGCTCCCCTCTGTCTCCACAGATGATGAATCTGAATTAACCGATGTGTTTTTCTTCCTTCTCTCTGAAGACACTGTCTCTAGCAAACTGCAGAACAACAATGTCTACACCATTGCCAAGAGGAACGTGGAGGGCCAGGACATGCTCTACCAGTCTCTGAAACTCACCAATGGCATCTGGATCTTGGCTGAGCTTCGCATTCAGCCAGGGAACCCGAACTACACGGTGAGGTGTCGGGACTGCGGAGGGCACGGGGCACAGACTGGGATCCTTCTAACTCACCTCACACAGAGCGATTTCTCCCTGCTTTGCCTAATGTGCTTATTTTGGGGGAAATCCTGTTAATCTGACTGGGGGGTTAGGAATGCCCACTGAACTGGAAAAAAGTGAGAAACAACAGAATTACACTGGTCTATTACCAGTGAGCTGGGATAATGCCCACTCAGCAATGAGCAGTTACTTGCCAAGGTTACCCAGAGATAAAGCCAAGAGACATTAGCGAGAAAGCATTGCCAGGATGCCCTTCCCCCTCTTGTAAACAAGGAGAAATTTATGCCCTGCCGTGTTCCTGCAGCGGAGACCGGCTGTCTGGATGTCAGAGGCTCTTTGGCCTTGTGCTGGCATCAGCCTGTGGCTGGTGGGAGGATGCGCCCTGTCCTGCATCACGCACTCTTATAGCTATTCTCAGAAGAGGAGCAAAGTCAAAGAGGACCTGTGGGTCTGAGCATCCTGATATTAGAGGATTTATCTCTTACTGGAAACTGGTCCAGAAGTTTCAAGAAAAAAAATCCATGGTCTGGGAACCTGTGGGGTGAAAGCAAGCTTTGGAAGGTGATTTAAAGTGTTTGCACAAGGATTGATGCCGCAAGCCCGATCTCAGCCTGATCCTTGCTTTAGAGAGAGGTGACAGCCAAGTTTGTGTCCATAAGGACTGAGCAGCAAATCGTTAGAAGCCCCCCAGCTTTAGTGCTGTGACTTACAACATGAGGGCAAGCAAATCTCTTGTCTCAGAGTTTGAGGTGATGTAGCCCCTTCCTTCGTGCCTGCAGAGGCACCTACACTTGTTAAGGAATTTGAGAACTCAACAGTAGGAGTTTGTTTTCATGTACCTCCTCCTGCTTGTAGCAAGCTCTGAAAAGGTGTTGGTGACAAAGAAAGCAGTATCCAGGAGAAATATTCTAGGTGACTGTCATTAGCCACAGCCATGATCTGTCCAACCCGTGCTGTAGGTCAGACGTTTCCAGTTACCTTTGTGGAGATGGTAGAAAGCTCCTGCCTTCCTTTGCACCACCGCTAACCTTTCCTCTCCTCTCCGCAGCTCTCCCTGAAATGCCGAGCTCCCGAAGTGTCCCAGTACATCTACCAGGCCTACGATGCCATCTTGAAAAACTAACAGGAGATCAGCCTGTGCCTCACCCTGCAGAAGGAGGAGGGAGAAAGGGGTCCCCAGATCCTCCTTCACCACTGGCACGGGGAAAAGCACTCTTAACTGGAAGCAGCTGTATTCATGTGTAGGATTTCAGTCAAAGGCACTGATTAAACAAGGTAGCAATTAGTATCCACGTGCTAATGATGATAGGGAACAAACCCCTTTGATATTTTTAGCGTCCATGGAGTTTGTAACCACTGCTTCAACTACTCCACGTCCCCCTCGCCCCTCACACATTGTCCGTTCTTGTGGGCTTTTCCATTTTGTGCCGATGTTCAGTGTTTTCTAAATGGCTTTAGGCGTAGTTACGATTTTGTAAAATACCGCTCATTAAAAAAAACAAAAAAAAACACAACAAAAAAACCAAGCAAAAACCACACGTCGGCTCATTAAAACAAGGCAAAAGTGTCGAAAACATAACACTGCACTTTATTTTATATTTTTATACTTTTTTTTGAGTTTTTCTATTGTAATTGGCTTAAAGGAAAGGCAATTTCAAGGAAGTATTGGGAGCCCTGCAGGGACGTTAGGCTCTAGCAGGGTGAGCACGGCCTCGGGGAGCTAGGAACAGAGCCATCAGTTCGGTCCGTGGAGACGGATGGAGCCCTAAAGAGAGGGGGGTTTTTTATTACACTTGTGCTGGCAGACTCAGCTCTGCTTTTGATGGTGTGTTTTCACTCCAGCCATCTCCCTGGCTCATTAGCTGCTGATTTGAGAAGTGAGGCTGCTTTTGTGCGGGGAGGAGCTACAGACCTAAATTGATAATGGGACAGTGGTGGATGAAATGAAGGAAACAAGCCTGCTCTTAGAGCAAAAGGCTCTTGCCAGAGCTCCAGGTATGGTCTCTGCATCCTCACCCATCTGCAGCCCCTCTTCTTGTTCTTTCCGTGCCTGCTATGGCCAGCTGCCTTCTCGGCCATCCCCTGAGCTGTGCCACCCTTACCCGGCGCTGCGTTAACACCTGGCAATCCCCAAGGCTCACGGTGATAAATCCGACTGTGGCAGTGCTGCTTTCCCGCTGGGACTGCAGGCATCAGCTGTGCCCCTACAGAGCAGGGCTGCTGCGGGCAGTGTCCCGGGGTGCCACAGGGAGTAGAGCGGCTCTCCCTGTTCCTGTGCTGTCCCCCAAAACCCAGGCTGTGGCGTGATGGGAGATGGTTTGGGCTTGGCGGTGTTTGCACCCTGTCTGCCTGGGGCCTTCAGGTCCCATCTGGGCTGAGAGTCAAGCGGATCATGGAAGCGTTTCTTCCATTTGCAGCTTGACTCTTTGTGCCCAGAGGTGCGCGGTAACGAGGGCCCGTCGGGTTCCTGCTCTCATCCTCTGTCCTGAGCAGCCCCATGCCCTGGCCCCTCTTTTCCGACCTGTCCTTAGGGCCAGGTCTGCTTCCCTTTCCAGTCCATGGCTGCGGACTCACCACTTTGCAACCACTAAGTGCTGCGGCAACAGCAGTGAAAGCAAAGCCTCTTGCATGTCCTTGCTCCATCCATAGCTTGTCCTGCTTAAACTAAGCCACTAACCAGAATGGCTTCGCCCTCCCCAGCATGCTTTGACGCCATCTCCTCCCCAGCAAGCCTAGCTCTTATGCATAGCAACCCCCATGTTGTCCTTTTAGATGCCACATTCAAAGTCAATAAATGTTTTACGGTGGGAGATGGTTCATCAGGGCTTTGGCACTCTCTGTAACCAAGAAGCCAGTGCTGGGAAAAGGTCACAGTGCCCTGGAAGTGACTCCAGCAGGGCACGGGAGCTGCAGGACCCCGAGGAAGGTGGTGTCCCTGTGTAAGAACCCCTGTGCTCTGGCTGGGGAATAAGTGGGGCAGAGCTGGAGCAATCCAGCCCTTGAGCACTGCCCACGTGTGCTGGGAGGTGATTTACTCCAAGCCCTGCGGGTGCACTGCAACAGTCATTAATAGAGCAATTAAGGAAGCACCAGTGGCGCTGAGTGCGGTGCTGTGTCGGGGCAGGGAGGAGATGGTAGAGGGTCGGGAACAAACGCTTAAGCCTCCTCAGCTAAACAACCAGTGTAACTTCGACGTGGGGAGGGGTTGCTGAGCACCCCCTTCTCTTGCCAAATTTCTTCCCAGCTTTTTGGGGACGTGGGCGTCTCTGCGCTGCAGGGCAGAGCCTGGGCTGGGTCAGTGGTGTTTCGCCCTCCTCTCCTGCCACGCCGCTCGTTCGAGTGTTCGCCGCGTAGTTGTGTTGCTCTTCAGGCTTTACCTGCCGTCCGTGTCAATAAACTCATTTCCACCATGCTGCGGCTGCGTGTGGCTCTGTGGGGCTGGGGAGAGGATCCCATTCCCCTGCTTTTGCCCCTGCCCATGGGAGCAGGCAGGGCTGAAGGCAGGATTTGGTGGGAAGGATGCTGTTTGCCCAGCGGGAGCCTTTCGTCCTCTTTTCACCAGCCACTTCTCTTCTACAGCAAACACCCCCCAAAATAGGGGCTTGCAGGGTGAGGAGGTAACAAGCATCTTCGGTCTTCTGCTTCCAGCTGCTGCTCTCTCCTCATCTCGAAGGGCAGCAGGAAAAGGGCCCTGGCTCACAGGGAGCACTGGCACCCCGACACGGACAGGCTCTGATACGGAGCAGAAGATGGATGTACCCATTTAGCCTTTTCTGGGCCCCAGGTGGGCTGTGTGTAACGTGACCTGCTTTCCCTGCGGTGAAATGATAGAATTGTGTGAATCAGTGATGCGTTTGGATTGCTCAGGACTGGTGCTGGCATTTTGCAGAGGGTTTTACCATCGCTGGTCCTGTCTCGCACAGAGTGTCTTGGGCTGCAACACCTCAGTACGAGGCCAGAGCCGAGCTCAGGCAGCCCCAAACTCAGCCCTCAACGTGGCCAGAAATGGAACCACCCAAGAAGCAGGTTTGGGAAGTGCTGCGCTCGAGCAGAGCAAGTCTTTCCCTCGCCCCTGCCCAGCCTTGGCTTAGCGGCACTTGGAGAGGAGGTGAATTCTACCCTCCGAGGACCTGGGGTGGTGGGTACCGCGTCAGCCCGTGATGCTCTGCACTGGGATGTCTTTGCGTTAGAAGCTGATGAACGTGTTGAGTAGCAACAGTGACAGGCTGGGTTGGGATGACTTAGGTTTCTGTCGTGTCCCTTCCTGCATCCCTGGTGTGCCTGGGATGGGCTGCACACCCAGCCCTTGGCGATGGGACGGAACGGGGTGGTTGTTCCCCGCTGTGGGTCTGCTACTGCCATGGTGCTGGGGGTGAGCCTGGGGCAGCATTTGGCCCAATGGGAACAAAAGCTGCTGCAAGATGCTGAGGGCTCTGCTGTGTTGGCTGCTGTCCCCTTCATGTCCCATGGGAAAGGGAAAGGTTTCTCCCTCCCTCCTCATTCTGCCCAGGGGCTCCTCTGGGAGGAATTGGTCTTTCCTGCTGCTCTGGATTTGCAGGCATGCTCGTGACCCACGAACGGGGACACACCAACCCTGGGCCATGCTGTACCTTAAAAACGAGTTTGCTTCATTAGCATCGTTAGCTGCTGGGGCTGGGAGCCCAGGGGACACGGGTGATGCTCCCTGGGCTGGGACCGCTCCCTGGGCTGGGCCCTGCCATGGGAGTGGATGGTCCCCACAGCCTTCCCTGTTCCTGAGACCCACGCCGTGGGGCAGGGACCTCCCGACCTGCTCCTTGCTGCTCTGGCTGGTGATGGGGACAGCCCTGCTGAGCTGAGCGGGTTCCCCAAAATCCGTGCCATCCTCACACGCCTCCTGCTCCATGCCAGTCCGTGTGCTGAGGGCCAGCATCGGGTGACAGCAGGTCCCCAAGCCCACGATGCCGCATGGGGAGAGGCAGGGGCTCGCCCGAGGACTTTGGAAGCTGTGGCAGAGGTGGGGGCTGACAGCAGCCCCC